CTGCAACTTGTAATTGAGGATAGAGAATCGCACTTTTGAAGGAGTTTCGAACCCTTCTACCCTCTCCCTTTCTGTTAACATGTTCTATTCATGCCACACTTTTCTTGATCTGTCATCTTTACTACGTGGCACTGTTCAACTATTCACTCATTCATAAACATATAGATGTAGTGGGACTGCAATGGTATAAAGTGGAGCGATTCATATTTTTATAGTGCAGCTCCGCTCATCTCAGTAGTGCCTACCGGTGGCGTTTGATCCCCTTCCTTAACCAACCTTTATCCTCTTTTTGCCGGCCTCTAAGCCCTCTTTGAACCTACCTATAATATTGCGTGGCAAACTCCCCCTACATCGGCGCACGCCCACCCACCTGCTGACCTCTCTTCCGTTGTCAAACTCGACCCTCTTTTTCCTGTCTCTAGGACTTTTTCGAATTGAGTTATGGGTTTAGGGCGAACTCCCACTTTGGTGCACGTTTCACCCACTGATAACAGTTAAACTCCCTTGCGCTGTCGGACTCTAACTACATTTTCTGGTCTACAGGACTTGACGAACCGAATTATAATTTCGGTGGTAAGCTCCGTCTAAATGGGCGCGCGACATTCCTACCACCAACATTAAAGCTTCCCTCGTTAACCTCTTCCTACTTCTTTTCCGGTTCCTAGAAGCTCTCTTGATCGGATTATGTCCCTACTTAAAGACACGCTCTGCCTACTGTGGGCGGGTTTTCGCCCAATCCAGGTATGCCGGAGACACCTTGAATACAGGGTGGCTACTAAATATTGGCGCATGGTTAATTGACCATATTTCCAAAAAGAGAGTCTATTAAATCTTCACGGGTCTGACATCACCGTGGGCCGCAAGCAGTTTTCGTCGAGTTACTTCAACGTTTCCTCCTAGGAAGCCTTCAGGAAGTCCAAACTTCAATATTGCCTAGAAGGCATCTTCTGCTGCAGGAAGCCCCACACCGCAAAATCCATTGGGTACAATTAGATGGCCTAACATGTTGACCAGTAACCTCGAAAATGGCGTTCACAGAACACCAGAGTAGATTTTGCGGCATGAGGAGGAGCCTAGTATTGCTGAAGAAGGCACTGGCATTTGCTGAAGGTCGAAACATGGAACAAGCACATAACGTAAAATTATTTCCTGGTAGATCTGAGCATTAATTTTGACGGATTTGTCCACAAAGACAACGGTGTCTCGGTGTCGGAAGTAATTCATGCCTAAATCTTCACAGATTTTGGAAATCGGCTCCTTGTGTGCGCACGACATCGAGCAGGATGCCTGCTAGCCAGATCCGACAATTGCCTGTCCCTTTGAGAATTGTGCGCCAATTCTAGTGTGATGATCTTCTCCCGTCACGTTGACGTCACTTACTTGCGGACCACGGTGATGTCAGTTGAGAAGAGACTTGAAGCCTGTATCACTGCCGAGGGAGGCCATTTCGAGCAGCTTCTTCAGTGATGCATGGATATGAACTTTTCATTGAGCACTACCTGTTCAGAAATGCTCCTTTTACCATGAGCGGATCTCCGTCATTCGATTAATCAACTCAGTGCACACCTCAACAATTTCTCCTCGGATTTAAGGCTGCTATGCAACTAAACCGTCGTCGGCACCGCCTAATTCGGCACGGGCCCCGCCCGGATGGGTGTGTCTTGCCCTCTTGACCCAGGCCCTACTCATCCCAAATTCGACGCGGCCCCTGTAATTGATTCTTCAGGTAGTACCGAATTGCGTGACTGACGGACAAACTCACATACACGCAGAGAGAAAGACAGACTAAGCGTATTATATAGTAGAGATTAATTATTGACACTGCTCAATCAAAGGGATGTCGCGACACATCACCAATCTGAAGTGTCCTCTATCCATCTCTGGCTTGTTTTATGTGATGAAAGCGACCCGATTTTCTACTGTTTCGCAACGTACAATGAAGAAGCGATTCTTTTCTACAGTCCACGAAGCTTTACTGATTGGATCGGCAACGTCAAGCTCTACAAACTTTCCAAAAAATGTTCCCTCATTTCATTGCTTCAAAAGCTCTGCATTCTGAACAAAAGTACCCACTGGAACGGCTTCTAGCAAAAGCAAAAGGTTCGCGCATCCGAACGATTTTTATTTCAGCTCAAAAGGTTCGGTATAAGCCGAGATACATATAGAGTGCGTTTCATAATTATAAGGTCACCCTAAGATATTGCATTTTCTGATACAGCAGCCAACCGGTTATTTTTCCACTATCAAATGATTTCCCACTACAAATAACCCTTGTATCGCAATTTTGGCGAGAGCAGCTTTTCTGTTAACTTTTTTATAATTACTTTTCGTTTTTTGCACCGTTTCTTAGTTATAAGGTCACCCCAAGGAACAGCGTCGGTCCTATGGTCGTTACTTTTCAAAAATTTTTACGACCCCCCTCCCCCAAGGTGGACTTGGTACGACCCCCTTTTCCACACCTCGACCACTATCATCGTCTCCATAAAATTTGATTCTGACACCACCCAACCCACCTCCGCCCACTTTTTCCTCCAAAATTGCCGTCGAGGGGAGGGGGCGGGGGATATACCCACTAAGAAACAGTAAAAATTTACCTAAATTCCCTAAATTTCAACCAATTTACCCCACTTCTACCTATAATCCCACTGCTTCACTTTCTAGGGAGGTATATAGGCGCGCTGAAACGGCGGATTTTTCTCCCATGCGCTCCCAACTCACCTAGCCTACTACTCGTGAAAACTCCACTTTCACCACAAACTCACATGTAATTTCACGCGACTGAGGCGGATGCGACCCCCATTCTATAAGCTCAATCAGGTACGACCTCCCCCCCCCCGTTGTTACTAGTAACAACATACGATTGAACCTGCTGAGAAAAGGAACTACCTAAGATTAATGCCAGATGAAAACGACGTAAAATTCTCTGGTTCCTTCTTTATCAAGGGCAACACCGTATAGCCTCCGCGGCCTACCGAAGTTGTGATTCCAAGGCAGACATCGATTCACTTCCATGTTCAAGGATTGCTTGTATACGCTGTTGTGTAGTTTTTAACTGGCGTTTATCCGCATGATTTTTCATGACGAAGATGTATTCTAATGAACAACTAGATCTCCAGAATAACCTGCTTAGTTCGTCAGAGTTTTGAAAGAAATGCTGCTTCTAGTTAAGTGACCTACACGGCTACCTGTGCTGTTCTGTATGACTGCGTAGGCTAGCCCACTTCATCAGCTCGAGGGAGAGATCAAATATCCTTCCAGGGCTGTGTGCTAATTTTTGGAGTCCATCATGCACTTCATCAAAGCGAAAATTCGACACAACATCATAACGAAAAACACCCACACCTTTGACATCTCCTTAACGAGAATTGCAAGCGCAGAAGTAAATCGGCCACCTTCGCAAGTCACTTCTGTTTAGCACCTTGGAGCCCACGCACCCCATATGTGGGCTGCAGTTCTCCGACCGCATAGGACCTTTCACTTTGCATTTCGCAAACAATTATTAGGGTTTTCATTCATTTTCTTTTCCAGTTTATCCGATAAGGTTTCTTCTGCTTTATACAGTGGGTTCTTCTCTTGAATTTGCTAGATAAGATCCCTAACAATTTAACCGAACTCCCGCGCGGCCGCGGAACGTAAAACACGCGCGGTCTTCAAAGTGTTAAACCAGTTTTGTCCGAAAAATACCAATTTTAGTGGAATTAGTTTGCTGTGTGGTGCGTTTGTAACGCAGGCTCAACTTTGTTCAATCTCTCTCTAGTGGTAAGTTTAACTTTACGGTATAAGGTGTGCCTCCTTGCAGTGGCCAGTGAACCTTCGTCCCACCCTTATCGCTTTTCTGACCATTTTGCTGCATCACTTTACCGCTCTCTAGCTCATATTTTCTATGATAGAAACATTAAATCAGGCCGACGCCGTTAAGCGGAAATACTGTTTGAGACAGCGTTCATAACTCTTCTCTAATTATTTGTAGAGACCTTTTTGTGAACGCTCAAAATTTGTAGAATATCTGGAGACGTAGGAGCTTTTCAGTTAGCCATGAGCAGTGCTAATGATTGTCCGAAATGCTTTTGACTCGCGAAGCGTGCCAGGCACCATGAAATGCATAAACTTTACCTTTTCTTCAAAAAACGAGTACGAAACATTTCATAAATTTGGCCAATGGGTGCGTTTGTAACAAACATTCAATTTCACAGGCAGGTTGGTTGTTTCTGATAATGTCGTATTCATTTTCACAGGGTAATCCGTAATTATGAAAATGTGCAAAAACCGAAAAATAATTATAAAAAAGTCTGAAGAGAAGCTGCTCCCGCCAAAATTCCACCCCAGAGGTATTTCATAGTGAGGAATAAGCTGGTAATACTGGAGAAATTACCAGTCTGCTGCTTGTCTCAGAAATGCGAAATTTTAGGGTGACCTTATAATTATGACCACTCTGTATTTGAAATTCGGGGTCGAAAAACCACGGAACTCTCTGAAGACCTAACCTAGTGTAGGCAACCGGTGATGAACCAGCATGGAAAAGTTTCTGTAGCACAAGTCTGCCAATTAACCGACCCCTGACGGATGGAAGGCTCGGTTGGCCTGGACGCACTACCCAAGATCCGATTCCCCGACGGCGCACCACCACTTACTACTAAACCGCTTCCGTTCTTTATATTAATGTTTTCCTTTTTTTACTTATTCTTAAATACGTTAATATTGATAATGTTACTAATAATGTTATATTTTATTATGTTGATGATTTTCAAAGTGTATTCGAAAGGCTACTCCCATTTTGAGGTATTATCCCTCATTCAAAGGTCTCCCCTCTGATGTGATCCGAGAGGCAAGAAAGAAATCACCAATCTCCTTGGCTAGACTTCACTGTATAAATTAGTTAGTTGCAAAATATCATCGGTAAAATTTCAGAAAAGTCATCCAGTATCACCGATCTTCGTGCGGCATTTACTGGCAAGCCAGTTGATCGAACTGCTTCCGCAGTAGAACTGGAGCTTCAAAATATGATGGGTCGAATTGTAGTTGATATCAAAGGTCCGTTTTCTTTTTAAGATTTAAAAAATGTTAATCGATTTATGCTCGTTGCAGCCATAGCCGGGTTTGCGCGAATAGCTCCAGGTGACGTATTTGAAGTTACTGTGCGTCATGGCAATCAAAAATGGCGCACAAGGGGAAGAACGCAGTCGGATCGAACGCAACATTGGGACAAATCGCAAGTGATTCTCCAATGCCAACCTGAAGCTATAATTGATGTGAAGGTAGACAAAAATCAATTCTGAGGTTCTGACTGCGACCATTTTTATCTCATCCAGTGAAAATTTTAGTCTAATTTTAATTTTTTAGTCTTTTTTTTGATTTTGAGCGGAATGATCCAGTCCTCGTTTTTATTAAGGTTGCAGAAGTGCGTATGTTCAAAGCGAAGCTGTTATCTGAGCGATCCTTCGAGCTTTGTGAGCTGTTTTCCTTGGAACCGCAACTTGTGACTATGAACCTGAACCAAATTGGGACCATCAAGTTGCAGTTAGTTGTGACGTGGATGTAAGTTATGACGATAGTTCGCTCAACATCAGAGATTCAGAGAGGCTCACACTGGTAGTTTTTGATCGAGTCGCGCACAGTGAATCGTAGTCACAGTAGCAAGCCACTTAAATTGTCAATGGTTTTCAGACGAATTTATTTACATGTGGTCGTCTTTGAATTAGACTGGCTGGCTCGTCCGCAATCTCCCTACAAAATGTCCTCAAGCAGTGGAATTTTGTTGCATGAGCGTGACATCAAGCTTTCGGTAGCTATGTTGAACACGTCTAATAATTGTCTGGTAAAGATTGTGAACTTTGCTAGAGATCAATTATCGGTCTAGGTCTTGGTGATTTTGTCACCATATTTACGACACAGAACTCCACCGAATTGGACAAAAGATATAAGATGATAGAGCAATTGCCGATGATCAGTCCCTTTTGGGATGCGGCACGTATTCTATTATGCTTCCATTTGTACAATCGTGGTGGCTTGAATGCGATTTGGCCTATACAATGCTTGCTTTACTGCGGGGACCAGCCTATGTACAGGTCAGTGTTTTTCTCCTCCCAGACAAGTCTGGTACCGATTAAACGACCCCGGAGGGATGAAAGGGTTGGTTGGCCTGGACAGCGCACGACCCAGGTCGATCCCTGGACCCCACACATAGTGATCGTGCCATTTGCCACTACACCCCTTCTGCGCTGGACAGAAAATAGACTGCTCAAAAAGTAAATCAACATGACCGATTACTCGATAAGATGTGTGTAATTTTTGGAATTGGTGTCTGCATTGAGGATTCTGTGACCTCCGATCGGCCCCAAAAAGCTCTGGTTAATGGAAATTACCGTGTATTGTGAAGAAGCTGATGAATATGAAACAAAGGAACAACTATATCAACATTGCGGAGTCTTATTCGCAGGAAGATTAATCTGATGGTGAAAATTTTAGACGCTTCAACGACACCTCGTATAAAGATCCATGAAATTTTAGTGAGGAAAGTAAAAACACGAATAACCCAGAAGGAATTCAGCAGTGGTCCACTCTTAAGGTTGTTGTTCAAGCAGACATGACCAAGTTCCGAACGCAAACCTACAACATTTGCGACATTTTGCCCTTTTGTTTTTTCTTTTACTTTTTTCCTGTGTTTTTCTTGCTTCTTTCTTGTTTGTTGCTCTGATTCTTTTCTGAGGTGTTGGTTGCGTGATCAAACTTCCTTGAATTCTTCAAAATTGAAGAAAAACCAAAACGATCCATGTGTCTCATGAATTCGTGTGAAGGGCGAAAGTTGTATAGTCAAAAGTAGCTGGAAGATGTTCGGAGGAGGCTTCGCGCCGACGTGCATGCCCAGCGATGTTGGTGGGCCGCAGTGTGTCACATTGCACTTTGGCCACTATGTGATAAAAATAGTAAACGACTCGGAATACTGAATTCGATCTCCGGATCCCCTTGACTTCCGATGGTATACAAACAACATTTGTGTTGTACAAGTGTGTTTCTACATAATGTGCAACACCGGCGGTCAAAGGGTGAATTCCCTTAAACAAAACCTCGGAGCCATGTGAAAAATCCCCATCCCATGAGGACCCTGCGGTCCAGATTATGGTGGTGATCTCGTGACTAATCACAGCGCCTCAAGCCTCTATGGGTCTCTGCGTTCACACACTTAAACTTTTTCCTTATTTGGGATATAAATATACATACATATACATTTTGTTGCAGCCCTCTTCTTGCGTCACATTCTTCGTTGAGAGGTTCATCAACGATGTCGAAGGAGCCTGCTGATTTGAGCACAGAAACGATGGAGAGAAAACATAGAATAGTATTGAGGGAAAAGAAACGCGGGTCGGCTGCAAGGTTTGCTTCTTTGAGATAATCGCTATCTGCATTCTTATTCAATCAGGGAGAAGAAAGGCGAAGGTTTTGATTTTTCACCAGTTGGTTCAGACTCTGGCACGTGCGTCACTCCAGGGATTAAGGGACAACTAAAATTGGAAACTTTCTTCTAAGTTTTGTGTTTACAAAATGTTTCATGTCCGAAAGAGAATCGTCCGCTCTATGAATGCATTGAACTATACTGAGTAGAAACATACAGGCTTGCAAAGACTAAGATTTCTAGAAGAAGAAAATTAGCCAGCAAAGGTTGTACCTATTCACAACCTTGCTTAACGCTCCGCTACCTGTCTACCAAGTTTTGTCTCTTTTCCAGAATTGGTTATCCAACAAGAATTCAATGGTTGACCGCTACATCATTGATCTTTAAATGAGAGTTGTTGTCGCCGAGACACTGGAAAGATAAAGGAAAAGCGAAACGCGCATTGCAGCATAGTAGAAGAAGCCTTCCGAATGACGTTTAAATACATTTGAAAGCATAGAGTTTATGGAGAATTTCTGATTCTAATATACTACTACGTATGGCGATCAGTCGGAAATTGAAACGATAAAGATGGACGATACGACTGTTGAACGGCTCAGTAGTGTAACATCAAGAAGAGGTTGCGAATTAGTGCAGGGATTGATACTATTGATTTCTTTCAGAGGAACATGGACTCTGAGTGAGTTGCCGGTATGGATAATTTTTATCTATTGGAGATCCCTTTTTGAAACCTTAGTACTCATTTCACAACAAACGGAAAGCGTGCAGTGTATTTCATAGAACAGACAATTCTCTTCCGGATGACGTAACACTCTCCCGGATTTACTTAAAGATTAAGCAGGGATTGATTTGTACTTGAAAAGAAGATCTGGTTTGATGGAACCTTGAGCGCTTCTTACAAATACCAGTTGTTGATGCACGCTTTGCGCGCACAACACAGTTCCACGGTGGTATGGGTTGGTGCGGTGCAAATTCAAACTTGATCCGACTCACTACGAAAATTTTACTTCTAAGCTAGATTCTATCCGCTTGTCTCCCTTTGGCTGCTGACTACTCCTTCGTGAACCATGTCCGCGTTTTCCCGGTCTCCGGACCGCCTCTAGACCGATTTATAAATCTCGTGGTAGAATGCAATTATCTCGGTGCGTGTCCCACCCACCTTTTTCCTTCTCGCCAATCTCTTCCACATTTCTCCGGTCTCCAAACTGTCTCCAGCCATGGCTAGCGGAAAATCTCGCCCACTTTGGTGAATGCCCCGCCCACCAATAAAATTGGCTTCCCTTCCCTCGCTGTCCTTCAACCACTTTTTCCCGGTTTCCAGTAACACTTCATACCGAGTTATAATGTTTCGTGGATAAGTCCGCCCACTTGGTGTATGCTCAGCCCACCAATAGCAGTTGACTTCATTTCCTTCGCTGACCTCTATCCTCTTGTTCCACAGTCCCCAGGACTTCTTGGGAGCGAGTTATGATTTTCCGTCGCAAAATCCGCCCGCTTCAGTCATACCCCCCTCCAATGAAAGTTTACCTCCACTCCTCCACCCGCCTCTATCCACCTTTTTCACGGTCTCCGGATTTCCTTGGAACAGAGTTATGAATTTCCGTCGTAAACTCCGCCCAGTTTGGTCATGCTCCGCCCTCCAATGACATTTTACCTCCACTCCTGCATTCACCTCTACACACGTTTTCCCGGATCACTAAGACGGACCTCCGCCCACGTCATGTTTGCTGGAAATACTTCAGGCGTTGCTTCCCTTTACCAATTTTTTCTTGCTCTTTAGGCTTGCTCCAAACCGAGTTATTGATGCTTTCAAAAAGCTTTGCTTTTTTAGAACACGCCCCGCCCACTGGAGGTGGGTCTCCCTAGATCGATCTGGTTTACCAATGCACGCCTTTGAGCACTTTTCCCCGGCTTCTAGGCTATTTTGTAATTGAATTTGGAACCTCGGTCGTCAGAACAGTTCATTTCGATACACGCTACGCCCACTGTGGGCGGGGCTCCGTATAGCTGATGTGTGTGGCCGATACATTCATTTTATAGAGCGGGGTGTGCCCTATTTAGGCCCTATTTTTCCCTGTCTTTGGACTGTTCTGAAGCTAAAAACTGCAATTTTTTCATCAAATCTTTTAATTGGGACGCACGCCCAGCCCACTGGAGGTGGAGTTTCTCATAATCAATATATTCCCCTTAGAGAGCGACTCATACTCTACCCATTTCAAACTTGACCCGCCCTCCCTAGGTGATTTTTGAAGGAAGAGTTATAAACATGTGGGGGACACTTGCGAATTTTTGGGGAGCGGTCAGACAAACAAACTCTGGTTTATATATTAGTATGATTGTTTTTTATTGTTGGTTGACAATTTAACTTTTCCTCAATTTTTATATTTTTTTTTGAAAATCCCTGGGTCCAGTGTGCAAATTCGCATTCGTGTACCAAATGCTACAAAATTCTTGCTGAGAGCTATCACTTCCGCCCACCAAACCAACATTGCATTTGTTGGAGAAAATACTACCATTTGATATGCTCATCGATTTTTCACAGTTTTCTCAAGAGACAGTGAAGTCTTTGAAGTGATGCCCTCGATCGTGGTTGAAAAGTAGGCCCTAGTCAAATCAGTCGAGACGGGCTGCACCAGCCTTGTGCTGAAATGGTAGGACACCTTGGCAGTGACTGATCGATGATGCACAAACGCTTTAACGAATTTGATTGCACAAGAAATTCTAGTAAATGTGCTCATCTGCTGCTCACGTGTGCGCAAAAAGGTTGCATTTTGACCCTATGTGGCAAAAAAGACTCCGGGAAAAATTGTCCAGTTCAGCTGCTAAGTTATAAATTTCCCACCATACAGTGCAGACCCTACCCTAACCAACTATATACTTATTTTGTCCAGGCCTAACTTTTTAGCATGTGAGAGGGATGCTTTGTCAGATGATGTCGAATTCGACCTAACTCTTTTTCAACACAAAAAGTTCCTAGCTTTAATCGTACGAGGTTTTCACTCATACTGGTAAATGGGAAAGGGCTAATGATTGATTCGATATGCCGTTTCACTCCCCGGATTCTGAAGTAAAATATAGGTGGTCCGAAACTCGCGATGAAAAAACAACACTAAGATATCCGGTACCTGTCCGAATTTCGACAC